GTCCCAACCATACCGTTGCGCTACTTTGCTTCAAAACCCCACTCGAGCAACGTTTAGCAGATTGGAGGCTAGAATGAATCCAGCGCTTCCGAAGGCACTTCTAATTCATGCAATTTCTTTCTTAAATGGGGATGGCGACCTAGGAGCGTTTCCTTATTAGGCCATTTGTCATGGACTATACAAACCCTCTGATTAAGACAAGAGTCAATAAAAAAGGTTTATACAAAGAATTTTACAATTCATAGCATCAAAAATGCTTGTTCGAAAAACCATGGAACATACTGTGTAATGAGCAGAGCAACAGCCGGCTACACAATAGCACACAACCCGTCTGAAACGGGGACGATGAAACGCCAGCAAAACCGCTTGTTCAGAAAGGCGATAAAAAAGGTCAGAAGTCGCAGAGCGGCTCATGACTTTCTCAAAATTAGTGACATAATGTTCTTTCGTTAAAAAGTATATGCTTTGAAATAAGGCTGGTATAATAATAGTTGCAGTGTAAAAGTAATAGATAAGGCGAAGTCGTTCAGGAGGTAGAGCCCTTTTTCAGAGAGGTTTTTGCATTTTGGTGGCATATGTGGAATGGAAGTTCATTTTTGGCATTAAGGGAGGGGGTAGAAGTGCTGAAGGATCAGCGGAGAAATTCCTTGATTAGTAAAAAAGTGCAGTTTCTACGATTTCCGAGAGTTGTGTAACAGACACAGGACGCAGGCAGTATTCATTCATAGAAATTTCCCGCACCCCTCCCCTCAGTTTGGAGTCATACAAAAAAACAGAATAAATATCAAATACCATCACGTTTGGCTGGGGAAGAAAAGGGCAAAACGTTACTCGAGAGCCGCAGAATTCAGTTACCCTGAATGTGTCAATTGGCATTGGTTTCGCTGTGCGAAAGTGAACCTCGGAATCAAGTTGCGCCCGTGTGCCCGAAACCATGCAAAAACCCTTTTTGAAAAAACGCTCCATTCCTTGAACGACACCCTTGCAAAAAATTATTTCAGTCCGGGATCCAATTGAGAATGGCGTAGCGACCGACTGTATTCCTTCACGGACTGTTCGAGTTGCTTCGGTGGCGTGAAGGAATCTTCGGACTGTGTCGCCTGTGTCATCTGAGTCTCAGCTTTCGCCTTTGCAGCTTTCCTGGCGTTAAGTAGCGTCAACGCGAGAATCACAATGAACACACAGATGATCAGCAACGCCAGCAGGCCAAACGCAGCGAACAGTGGGACAACTGGCCTGCAATCAATAAATATGATTTGTATAGGAAAGCAACACGATATAAAAAAGTGCATGATGCAAGGATTTCATTTCAGGGAGTCGGCAAATCTCAAAGTATCGCTATGAATCTTTCTTTTCGTGACGCGCAAAAAATCGTTCATCGGTTTCGATGAAGAATATTGATATGAATCGACACGACACGTCTGTGTTGTCCTGGATTGGGATACGTTGACGCCTTAATTAGCGCTTTTTGAACTCGAACTGATGAATGCTGTGCGATCTTTCTTCGGTGAGACGAAAACGATTTTGGAATAACACGCTTCTGATCGATATGAGAAGCACATTCCAGGATAATGGTGGAATATAGCGCTATTGAAATTGACTGTGAAGAGTAAAAGTTTTAAGCAGCCAGCCAGCGAGGAAACAAGCCAAACAAACTTCCCAATATCGCAGAAATATTCTATTAGGTTGGCAAGAAAGTCCTGCGACACTCTTTCTCAAATTTTCTTTTTTTCTGAAGAATCCATAGGTAACATTTATGACTAACAAATGGTAGAGCATTCTCGAGGCTTTAATCCACGAGGTGGATATAAGTGCTGCAGTAAGTCAATAGTTATTCCAAGAAAATTCGAAAAACCTCGACCACTAAATCCCACCACCGAGTCACTGTCTAGTTCAAATGTCTCCGTAATAGAAAGGCACATGTCGTTGTAGCGGAGACTACAGTGCAGCGTGTTTCAGCTTTACCACAGCCCCATTTTCGATCTTTTGATATTTTTATAAGAAGCCAGCAGCGTCCCTCTCACTCCATTACAGGTAGGGCTCTTACAGAAGCTCCACTATATATTCTTCGTTATGGGCACCATTGTGCGTAGGTAGAGGCCTAGGCTGCGAAAATACCAGGAGCTGGCCGAGGCAGCTCATCAACAGCCCGCCCTCGAGCCGCGAAAAGCCTATTCTAAACATTTCTCTTCATGATATTGGCGAATCACCGGATAGTCGAAATTGATACGAAATAACCAGGTCATCTAAAAATTCTGGATTGCCCAGCGCAAAATTTCTTACACCATGTGAAAATCCTCTCCGCGTTAATCTCCGGACGAACTAGTGAATGACTACAAACCTATCCTAAAGACATTAAATTTACCATCTGATGACTTAACAGTTGAAATAATTAGACGATCAACTTCCAACTCGGAAGTGAGGTCGCCTCCTTCTTGACCCGCACTCCGCTGGGTTTTGGAAAAGGCGCATCAGGAAATTTTCTGAGCGTTGAAGACAAGTGGTGGACACTCATGATAGATATATGACCGGTCAGGAGTTGTAAACAAAAAAGATAGAATTAAAATCAAAAATTGAAAAAGTGTCGCAGGACTTTCTTGCCAACCTAATATAGAAGTGCTTGCATTTATTATATTTAGTCAATACATCTGGAAACGTTTTGCAGGGGGAGGCAAGTTAGCGACCAAGGCAACTTGTAATTTTTCGTTTTTCCCCATTTTGCTCAACATATGGATGTGACCCTGAAGAACCTGGAGACAATGCAAACTCCTGTTTTCAAAAAACCAAAGTCGTTTCGCCGATCCAGCCTTTTCGTTTCCCCCGAGGCGCTGGCCTAAGAAGAGGAGATGGTATTGTTAGTATCACCATTAGCTTTTCATAGTGAAAAAAGCTTTTCAGTCAAAGCAGACATGTCTTCTATAAGGGGCGCTTTCAAAAAATCCAGTCCCCTCTTACTCCAAGAGAATCAACCGCACCGCTAGACGAAACCGAATGATCTCAACTGAAAACGTAAGCACATTGCATTTATCTGAAACCTTCAGCCACGGAAATGTGGTGTATGGTTTGAACTATCCATCACTTACTCGACTGAAGAATCTTCCAGCAGCTTCAGCTAAGATCAAGTACAGTACGGTAATGACAGATAACTTCATAGTCTGAAGGGTGAGTATGTATTCAATGGGGCCCACCTATGGAATGTTCTACCGTGAAGCTTCCATCAACGACGGCACCCTCTGCGATGAAAACTTTAGTGATGTGAGGAGGAGATTTTACCGCGTTCCACATGTAGTATTTCTTCTGTGTGATGCATTGTAAAAATAAAAGCAGAAATTTCAACTGCATCACGCTACCTATGCAGATCAACACGTACAAACCAACCAGAATTTGCTCTCTTCTCCAAAGAGGAAATCAAGAGCCGGTGCCCCATTCCCGAATGAGTTTCAGGCCAATTCTCACAGTTTTCATCCTCGTTGCACTACTTACCAAACTGGTTTTCTTTTCTAACGGGGACTTACAATCAAAAGGCAAAACAGTGGCACTTGGTGCCGATACCACGTAGTAGACCATATCCCGAGTGCAAGCTCATCAAGGCCTACAAAGCTGCCCGGTGCTATTTGATCGCTACCAGGCCATGCTAAAGAAGGATGGCCAGAAGCGGCCGCCACATTTCATTATGCTGGCGTACCACTTATCAAAGCAGTGTGAGTGTTAACGTTGTGATGATAGCCCAAATCGTTACTCATGGTGGATTGATGGTTTTTTTCTGCAAAATTCCTACCTATCCGGTTTGCTTGCTTAAAGCGTCGCCTAACCACCACCCTTTTGCAGAGCCTCCAGTCAACAATAGCAAGAACTTATTGGGGTTGCGAAAACAGTTCAGCCCAAATGGGTGATACCAGCAGCAAAAAATTTGAGACAACGTACTCGGGACCCTTGATCCATTTTTCCACTCGGATGAGTCTCAAGCGTTTTGATTGCACTTGACAAAAGTTATAATTTAATAGATAGACTCGTATTGTCAATCCCAGCGAAGCGCCACGTCATTCACTTCCCATTTTTATAACGCGTCATGCATTTTACTGCAATGTAGCCAATATATCGATCTGTGGGAGAGGCCAATAACTGTTTTTTTTTCAGGGAAGATCTACCAATCAACCTTGGAGGATGGCCGGAAGGTTGGGCAAAATCCAAAGTCTGATCCGTGTGCTCATGTGCAAAGAGACTGCTGACTTCACCCTTTCTGTATTCATTAGAGAGCAGAACAGTATACCTAAACTTACTACCCAAATGTTGTGTCACATTAATCCTAGCGGGCCTGCGAAAGGATGGAGGACTATGATTCACTGAACGAGCATTACGGAAACGAGAAAATCATGGAGCTTGTGTGTGCCGTGCACGCTGGTAACGTCCATCGCAACTATACCATTGCAGGGTGGGCGAATAAGAAACTGTCTTGACTTCGACTACAACCTTACCATCCTTAGTTGTTAGCTATGGTCGCCTGCACTTCTGCCAAATACCGAATTTCTGCTGCCATGTAACCTTGACCCCCTCACTAGAAAAACCGTCGTACTGAGGAACACCTATGGTCACTGAAGTATCTTGCTGCTCACCTGGAAAGCCGTATAAAAAAATTTCAAATAAAATTTTCAAAAAAAAGTCAAAAATTCTGGTCGAAAGTTTGTTATTGTTGACTAGTTTTGCTGTGCATATCCACTTCGCATTCGACTTTCAGTAAGTGCGTTAATCTCAAGGGCCTTAGGATTCAGAAATGAACCTGCTTTCCACAGAAATGCGGCAGTCGTCGAAGCTGCCTATCTCCGGTACTGAATCTTTCCCATCAAGCAGCATACGGTCAAAAAAGAAAATAAGCGGAACGGTTATGCGGCTTGACTTACGAAGCTACGATCCGATCTGTACTTGATATTGACCAGTCTTTTTGATGTGGGCGTGACCGACGAAATCAGCAGCGATGAATTCAGCATCAACCAGCAGCAGCAATGGCGGCCTATCGTCAGTCTGCTGCGATGATCACAGCACGACAGGCCGCATACTCGGCCATTGGCTTGTCATCAATATGCGTCGTCATGACGGTTCTCTACATGCCGGTGTTCATCTCGAAAGTGCAATCTATACAGGACCATCTGTCCAGAAATATGGAAGACTTCAATTTGATGGAGGTAGGAAAGGATCTTTTCTCCAGTCGTATCGGGCTTCATACGCTCTTCGGGATAAGCCAAGAAGTAGAGTTCACATTAATTTCTAGAAAGAGACCTGGAGCCATCTCAATGAAGCGAGAGAGGATCTGCACGCTAAGACAATCTCCAAACGTCAAATAGATTTATGTGGTGAGTAAACCTCCTTGGCTCATCCAGAATTCCTAGAAGTTCGCTTACCACCTCAAAGCCTCAGAATATGGAACAAAGCGAAAGACATTTCTAGAATGCCTAGCGTCGAATCCGTGTCCACCAGGTGAAAAAGGACGTCCAGGTTTCGATGGCATGGACGGAGCACCCGGGGAACCAGGAACGCCTGGAGAGCCTGGCCTACCAGGAATCGTACCACCTGTTGAGCCCAGTACCAGTGGATGCCGCTCGTGCCCTCCTGGAAGTAAAGGACCGCCAGGTCAGTGTTCGCGCTTTGAAATTTATGCTTTGCTGCTAAATAAACTCTTTTCAGGCTACCCCGGACAGCCAGGTCCGCAAGGATTGCCTGGTCCGGAAGGACCGCCAGGAACGGAGGGTCGCCCAGGAGCAGAGGGTCCTCCTGGTCCCCATGGACCGATGGGTCCGATGGGTGAAAGCGGCAAGGACGGTGAGCCTGGTCCTCCAGGACAGGAGGGCATACACGGCGAGAAAGGACCTCCGGGACCTCCTGGTGAAAATGGTTTGGTCGGCTCTCCAGGTAATACTGGACATCCTGGACCACCTGGACAACCGGGACCTGTTGGTATCCCTGGAAAGCCAGGACCAGATGGAGATGCAGGTAAGGCAGCAATTTCACTGGTGTCATTCAAGTAATTGTAGGTTTTCAGGCATGCCCGGATTCTTTGGCGCTATCGGAAAGCCTGGTGAACCAGGAGCACCTGGAGAAGACGCTAACTACTGCCGCTGCCCAGGTCGTCGCAAAGGTGGCAGTCTCAGGCGATTCAGCTAGGAACCTTTTCAATTTGTGCCCTTTGTGCCTGAAAATAATTTTCACGACTAAATAAATATTACTTTCTATTGATAGAGCACTTCAATGTCGTTAAGAAAAAGATGGGTTATACAGTCCAAGAAACAAGTGGACGTGAGTTCCGATATGAGGGATCAGGTCGACAAGACTCGATATGTACTTGCATCCGCTTCGGTATAACCAATAACACACGCACCGATTAGTCAGAAAATGTCCCAATCACTCCTTCGAAGTTTTGCCGCCGGAGCGATTCGCAAAATAATTGCTAGTTGTATGTTTTGATGGGTTGCAAAAAGGGCGCCTTTCTGAAAGCTCTAGTTTTCTAATACATAGATGCTCGTACCATTTGTAAGGTAATTGGCAGAATGAAGGCTGTCATCACACTCTCGCAGACGTGAATACCAAGGATGACAACCTTTAGGGGAACTTTTTCAGCTGGCGGTGGAGTTTAGCTAAATTTGCGTGATATTATATTGCCATTGCTCCTTGCTTTCGGAATTTTTGTTCTCTTAAATCGCCACCGTGAGAAGGAAATCGAGCTATTTTTCTAAATGAAGTCAATAACAACAAATCTGGCTGAGAGTCAATTCAGAATAATTCTATCCATTGTCTAGTATCATACTGTGAAAATGGACTTGGGTGGGGGACACTCCACTGTGTACTTAACACGTTGACGACAGCGTGACGCGGTAACGCGTCCCACTTTGCGCACCTCGTGGGACATTGTGACGCGGTAACGCGTCCCACCCAAGTCATCCTTTTTTTGCGACTTATTCCTAAGGTCTTTGTACTCATTCTATAGGTCATACATTAGCATACTTAAAAACCACACAGAAAGGCCAAATATTCTTTAGTTTGGCAGACGTTTTCCAGACCTTACGGATATGTCTGTTCAATTCATTCCTCGTCTTCTTTTTGCAGATGCTTGCCCTGTTTATATGTTTTTTGTAAGCGAATTTCTATATTTTTAACTTTTCCGCTGAAGCTTATGAGGCGACAGTCACGCAGTCGCAGTCATTAAACTCCTCCTCACAGTGTGAGGTCATCCGATTAATAATCTGGCTCAGAATTAAAGTCAAATGTTTAACCCATGCTTAAAGGAAGCGATTACGATAGATCTCACAGGGGTTTAGAGGGGACGTGAGGGTCTCAATAGTACGCCAATGGCGAAAAAAGCAAAGAAAATAAAAGGATAAAGGATAAAGCATTTGCCGTTGATCAATCCCTTTTTGGGATGCGGCACGCATTCTACTTCCATTTGTACATTCGTAGTGGCGTTTGAATGCGATGTGGCCTATACAATGACTTGCGGGGGCCAGCCGATGTACAAGTCAGTGTTTTTATCCTCCCAGACAAGTCTGGTACCAATTAACCGACCCCGGAGGGATGGAAGGCTTGGTTGGCCCGGGCGACTCACGACCCAGGATTTGATCCCCGGACCGCTCGCGTGGTAAGC